CTTTGTTTTCTCTCTTCCAGTAAGTCACTTTCAGCCTTGTTCAGTTTTGTTTCATTGTCTTCTCTTTGTTTTCTTTCTTCCAGTAAGTCACTTTCGGCCTTGTTCAGTTTTGTTTCCTTGTCTTCTCTTTGTTTTCTCTCTGCATGAAGAGTTTCTTCAATTGCTCTTATGTCGTGTCTATGAGACTCCATGGCGTCATTTAACTGTGAAATTGTTTGGCAGTTTTCATTGAGCTGTTTTTTATATTCATCTGTTTTGATGATGAGCTTCTTTTTAATCTTCAACTCATTGTTTAAAAGCGCTTTCATTCTGAAAGCATTACTTTCTGTGCTGTAATCAACATTGCCATTCAAGTCAGCCATGACTTCATCTGCATCCATCTTATCATCAGTGTCATCAACAAATTCTCCCCAGGCTTCCAGGTCTTCTTCCAGCTCCTTAGACACCTGAGCAGATATTTCTTTCAGTTTTGCCAAAGCAGTTTCTAGTGTCTGGATTTTCTGGGATTGCTCTTTATTTGTTTCTGTCAGCTCTTGAGCCTTTTGGTTTAATTCTCCAGCATGGATGATTTGAGATTTGAGCATGTCTTGAAGATCTTTCACAACAGTCTCATTTTCAGCTGATTTTTTGAGTTTCTGTTCCAGTTCCTCGTTTCGGAGTTCCTCTTTCTTTAAAGCAGCTCTTATTTCAGCTAACTGGTCATCTAGCTCCGCAAGTAACTTGTCCCTGTTATTATAAGCACTACTTTTCTCATTTAGTAAAGCATCAAGCTCCCTATTGTGTTCTCTCTCTTGCTCGATGGTAGTTTTCAATTCATCAAACAGCTCCAGATCCATCAACACTTGTTTCTCAAGTTCCTTTGTTTTCTCCTCGAGATCGAAGTTTCTTTCTCGTTCCTTATCCAATATTTCAGAAATCTCCCGGTTCTTTGCGCTTTCTAAGTCAACGTTTCTTCTAAGCTCCTCAAAAATCAATTCGTCCCTATTAAAGTTTTCCTCCAATTCTCGCAGCTTTGCTTCGGCTTTGGCTTTTGTCATCTTTTCAAGGTCAATTTCGGCAAAGAGCTCTTCCATTTTATTCCTTTCGTTTCCAAGCTGATTCAGCAGCTCATTTATTGCTTCGTCTTTTTCAATGCTATCATTCTCCAGCTTTTCAAGCTTGTTTAGAAACTCCATTCTCTGCTTTTCTTCAGAAGAAAGACTTTTGCGTAGCTCTTCAACTAACTCTTTATCATCGTTCGCCAGTTTTTCAGTCTCTTTTACATAGCTCTCTAATTCTTTTAGTCTTTGTTGCTCTTCTTGAAGGCGTTCGGTTACAACACCAAAGCATTTTCTCTCCGTTTCCAGATCTTTCTGAAGCTCATTTATAATGCTTGCACTATTGTATGCTTCATCTTCAATCTCCCTCAACTTCACTTCAAAGTCATACCTTGCGTTGGTTTCTCGTTCAACGTCTTCTCGGAGTTGCTCTGCTGCCTCCCTTTCTTCAATTATCTTATTTTTCAAATTTTCTATTTCTCGTTCGTATTCCGACTTGAGCAGTTGCTCAACCGACAGATTTTCTTGTAACTGATTGACTCTTGTCATGTGGTCTTCATTTTCTTTGTTCATCTCTTCGATTATATATTGATGGTCGTTCTCCTTTTCTTTGCCTTTTTCTTCAAGGTGTTCGATTTCCTTTTTCATCTGTTCTATTTCATTTTCTTTCATTTCGTTTTCAATCCTTGCTTCGGAAAGAGTCTGTCGGAGATTCTGTAAAATGGCAACAAGTTCTGTGTTCTTCTGGATAACGCTTCTAAATTTCTCAAGAACGACATCTATTCTTTTTCCTTCCTCGGCAAAGATTTGTTCAAAGACCTTTTCGAATATCAAAAGGTGATGAAGGAGTTCACGTTGCTTCGTTTGGCTATTTTCTCGTTCTTGTTCTTGAGCCTGCACATCTCGTTTTTCACTTTCATCGTCAAAGTAAATAGTTTCCCCAGATTCTCCTTCCTCTTGCTCGTCATCTCCCTCATTTTCCTTCTCATCATCAATCAGCGGAAACAAGAGCATTGGATTTGCATGTAGCTCATCGTCTGTAGTTTCCTGTATCTCCTCGGAAATCACCTTTGGATCGCGTGTTGGGAGGCTGTCGTTCTCAGAAGACTCGCCACTAAGTCCTTGGTATCTTTTTCTCACGAGTTCCAGCTCATCTTTCATGTATTCAACCAAATCTTCACATTCTTTCGACTTTGTGAGTAACTGGTCAATTTTCTCATCTTCTTCTTTGCCATTGCCTCTTTCTTCCTCTTTATCGTTGAGTTTTTCGTTCTTTTCTTCCACAGCGCTTACGTTAGTGGCAACCTCTTTGATGATAGATTCTTTAACTGAATCTTTCTCTTGCACGGGTGAAATATTCTCTTTTGTAGGCTCTGTCTTGGAGTCATCTCTCGGTGAAAACATCTCTGGAAGATTTCTGTTTATACGATCAACCTTGGATCTTAACTTTCCAACATGATTTTGATACTTGTGGACTTTCTTCTTCAAGTCTTTTACGCCATCCAAGTGCTTGGAGTAAGTTTGTTTCTCTTGCAGAAGTAGCTGTTCAATTGTGGCAACTCGCATTCTCTCTCTATCAGCCACGCCTTCTAGTTCTGATATCAGTTTTTGACCTTCAGCAACTCTGTCGCTCAGTTCTTCAATGTATTCTTTCTGACAAAAGGTTTCATCCTCTAAAACATTCACTTTGTCTCTTGCATCATTGAGTTCTTCAATCAAGTCTTCTTGTTTCTGCAAGCGTTTCTGCTCAATATCGACCTGATTCTTCAAAGTTTCAACTTGTTGTTTCAATTCAGATATCAAATCATCCTTACGCCTGAGCTTCTTGGCTGCGTAATCATCCTTCATATCTTTGAGTTCTTCGTGAAGATTTTCCGTATCATCACCAGCAGTCTCCATTTTATCGATTACTTCCTTTAATGAAAGTATCTCTTCAAGATTCTCAATTTGCTCTTCCAGCTCCGTAATTGCCTTTTTGTCTGATTCCAGCTCCTGTAGCAGTTCAGCTATACGTTTTCCATCTTCTGCAGATTTTTTGGACAGCTCATGATCCTTCTCGCGAATGACTCCATCGGCTTCTTCATACTGCTTGTTCAAAGTCAATAAAAYCTCTTCGTATTTCATTGTCTTGAGCCTTTCTTCCTGTAGCTGCCTTTCCAGCTTAGCCGCTTTCACCAGTGCAGTAGTCTCTGTTTCCTCATCTTCTTCATCCACAACATCAAGCCCGCTTCCACGAGATACCTGTCGTCTTAGCCTCTCAATGATGTTCGCTTTATAAACACAATCACGTTTGTATATTTGTAGTTGATTGGTTAATGCAATAACCTCTTCTCGTAGTTTAAGCTCCTCCACAGCGCAGTGGGCGATCAATTCCTCGATACCACTGTCTTTCTCTGATAGCTTCTCTCTAAGTTCTTCTACTATTTCCATCAACTTTCTGTTTTCAAGCTCAGCATGAACGATGTTTTCTATAGATCGTGTTTTGATATCTTCCTCGTATTCTCTCAATTCTTCTGAAGCTTTCAACTGCTCTTCTAATTCCTCAATCATAGAAGTGCTCTCAGCTACTTTTAGTTTTTCCTCTTGTAGCATTTCTCTTAGATTTCGCATCTCTTCCTCTATGTCTTCTTCATTATCTTTTCCATCTTTTTCATCATACTCTTGCAACTGAAGCTCAATCAGTGCATTTTTTCTCTCAAGCATCTCGCACTTGATCACAAATTGGTCTTTTGCGAGTTTCTCTGATTCCAAGGCAGTCTGGGTATCGCTCAATATATCCGTCAGCTCCTCGACTTCTCTTTCCTTTACCTGTAGTTTATCATTTGCAGCTTTTTTATCTTCGGTTATTGATGAAATATCATTTTCTAACTCTCTCACTCTTTTTGAACTCTTCTCTAACTCTGACCTGAGCTGTTCGACTTCAAAATACTTTTCATTCAATAGTTTATCTTTAATTTCAAGATTTTCCTCCAAGTCTTCAAGGCTATCCCCTGACAAGGTCTCATCGTCTGGTTTCGTCGCTTTCTTTGAAACTTGGTCTTTGATTTCTTTAATGGCGTCCAGTTCTTTTCGAATCATTTCCAAGTCTCTCTTGTACCCTTCGTTCTCATTTTTAGCTGTGTGGAATTCAACTTTCATGTGTTCAAATTTTAGATCCATTTCTCTGTTACTCTTTCTTTCGTATTGGATTTGTTCCTGCAAATCGCACAGCTTCCCCCTCAGGTCTGAAACCCTGTTCCTTTCATCCAGGATGATCTGGTTTAGATTGCTGTTTTGAGCCTCAAGGTTACGAACAAGTTTCTCACTTTCGTCTAAAAGCGAACGAAAAGTATTAATGAGGACAGCTTGTTCTTTTTTACTTTCATCTTCTATCTTCATGTCTTCTGCAAGTCTCAGCAGCTCTTGTTCTTGTTCTTTGGCGTTCTCTTTTTCTTGCTTTAATTCTTCCTCAATCTTGTCTACAGCAGCAGCTTTGTTTTGAAGCTCTTTTTGTAGATCATTCACTTTTCGTGAGATTTCTCTTGCAACTTCTGCAGCTTTTTCCCACGATTTGACTGATTGAATGAGATCTTCAGGGTTAAACTTCGTAAGCAATGAAAGCTTGACTTTCTTACATTCTCGGAATTTAATTTTTGTTTCACTGAATAAAGACTGAACTTCATTATTGAACTTCGATAATTCTTCACGGTGGCTTTCATCATCAGGGGATTTGGAGATCTCTTCTTTGACTGCGCTAATTTGCATCTCTTTTAACGATATATACTGCAAAGCGTTCTCTATACTTTCAAGCTTACCCTCGACGTCTTTGATCCGATCATCAACACGTTGCTGCAGCTCCTTGAATTCAGCTTTACTCTTTCTACCTTCTTTGAACTCATATTCAATATTTTGAAATCGCTTCAGGACAGTTTTGTTTATTTTGTTCTCTTTTTTCATAGACGAAACAAACTCCTCTAGATTTTCTTTCTTTCTCTGTATCCTAGTTATGATGTCTTTGACATGGTTATGAAGCTCCTGCAGATCAAGACTTTCGTCAAACTCTTCGCTGACACTGCTGTCCTCTTCGTTTGCCATATCTGACTCAAATGAACGGGACTCTCAAAGATAGAGAAGTTGTTCTGCTTTAAGTCCTCGACCCATTTCCTTAACCAATCGATGAATTAATAATAAGCATCTAGGATTAAAAAGCATTACGATAAGCTATATTTCTACACATTTTACCCATGTTATTTTGACAAAATTAAAAATAAAATTGATTGAGAATAACATCACGAATCTTTAAAGCAAAAATGGTCATTTTCGTTGATGTTTGCTGGAGGTATGTGACGTAAAGTCTGACTCAATTTTTTTGCACTTGTTAAGATAGCCTGTTTACATTCGCCGGATGGAAGTTCATCTGGGACTCAGTGCGGCTATCAGTGATAACGACAAGCTACATAACTGGCAGTGAGTGAGTTTGGAGATTCAAACCCTTTTTTGGTGTCATTTATTTGCACTTCTCACTATGCGGCAACATCAAAAAATTGTTGCTTGTTACGAAGAAACATGATAAAGATGCGCAGATTCCAATTCCTTAATGATAGCACTAAAAATGTCAAGTCAATTAAAGTAATTAATCTCACCTTCGAGACACTTTTTGCCTTTCTGTTTGAAAAGAACTTTTCTATTTCTGGCTTGTATAAAAGTAAGAAATCCCCAGATTTGACAAACAAGAGAAGTGCTTGTTCAAGGCCACTTCATTGATAGACTGTGGAAAATGATTAAAAATTCAAACTAAGGACTGTCTCTGGTTTTAAAGTACCTGTCGTTCAAATATAAACAATTTGAATAATATTTTGAACAAGTTTCCTGAGAGAAAATACACAGGCTTGCAGCAGGTTATTATCTTATCATTCTATAGTTCATTTGGCAGACTTGATAGTTTGGTATTTTTTGAGAAATTATATGCTTGTAGTACAAATAGTACAAATTCATTCTCTCTTACTTGGGAGTTATATTATTGGACGTTTTACTGGCAGCCAAAGGGAGATGGAAGATATTTGGACAGTTTCCAACAAACCTGTCTAACTTGCCAATCCTTATAATCCCACAGCATTAATAATAATAAGCATTGCGGATTTACATTTATTTTAGTCGGTAATATCAATCAGGTTGTTTTGAAGTCTTTGTAAGATAAGTATTGAATACATTCCAGCAGTAGTAAAGAACTGATTTGGAATCACCTTTTGAAAAACGATGGCGCGAAGTAAAGCCAAGGCGAAACAAAATGTCGTTCCAGTTGGATTTAACAAGGGAGTTTTTATGGAATTCCTCATTTTTCTTTTTCTTCAAGGATTTGATCTTTATTGTAACTACGCAGTGTTTCTCAGCTCTCAAGAAGACGGGAAAACGTATGCTGACGTTGCAAAGATAGACCCATTGATTATACAGCAAAAGAATTACACGACAAAACCAACGTCTTATTGTTCACGCGAGGAGTTTGATAAAAAAGCTATTACAGAAACCCGAGAAAAATTCAACCTGATTCTCGAGGTTTATTTTATATTTGTAGTCATTTCCACTATCATTTTTAGTCTCCATTTCCTCTTATGGGTGACAACGATAACGTTTTCATTCTTACAACCGGATTTTCTTCAAGAAAATTGGGACATCTTGGTCAAAGGCAAGCTTGGTTTTACACTAGCAGCTAATTTTGCGCAAGACATTCCTTGCTCTATGTTGGCCCTGGAGCTGTATCTGTTAAGAAGAGGTTCAAAGGGTTTGATTTGCTGGCAATGCGCCATGGATATTGAATGTGTGAACTCAGCCCATGTAGAGGAACTGATGGGTCCAAGTACGTCATTACTGTCTCTTCTCCTTCTAGCTATTATTATATCTACACTATGGAAAGCGATTTCATCGTTTTTTCGCTGGAGTAGAGTAGACGAGTGTAACGTGTTTATAATTAGAGCTGGGACGTCACTATTTGCGGGATTTTTATACACTTGTATTATCTTGACACCAATGTTTGCTATTCTGAAATACGAGTTCTTCGTTCTTCCTGGTGTACAGCCAGGACTTATTGGTTCTATTGTTGACAAGGTGTTTATAGTTGGTGTGTTATTTTGGGCTGTCGGCATTCTTGGTGTATGCTGCTGTCCATTATTGAATCTTATTAGACTTGCTGATTAACATGCACTGCGCATGCTCCACTACTCCTTTACCACCTGCACTGCGCATGTTCTGTAACTCCCAGACGACTCTTTATGACTAAAGTCCCTTCGAATACCTTATCACTTTAGACCTCAGAGCCTTCATGGACATTTGGTAGAGCATTCGTTTAAAGAATGACAGGGATCTGAACAAAACATGCTAACATGAAAATGACGCATGCGCAAAAGTGTTCGAATATGTGATGGTTTTTTAAACTGATTGACGTAGCTTTTTCCATTATACTGTTCAGATAAACAAATTAGTTGATACCATTGAACTGAATAGAATACGCTTTTTGCTGTGGAAACGTGATGTGTAAACGCTTCATTTCACATAAAATAAATTAATGCAAAGACTGATAAGAGATAAAGAAAAAGTCTTAACCTAAACAGTGATTACACATGTTATTATTTTCATTGTAAAATTATATATTTTCTTAATTATCAAGGCTTTTTTAGCAATATATAAACACGCTGGAAACTGCAAAACACTTGAGCAGGAATAGGAGCAAAGGAATTGAGCGTAGCCCAGTTTTTTTGTTTTTGTCTGCCCTACAATTCACGGAGCGCATACATCACGAGAGGCACAAGCAGCCCTTCCTTACCCATTTCATGAAATATTTTGTTCGCGCTGTTTCAGAGCTGTCCTTTTCATATAGAATATATATTATGGTAACCAGCCAATCACCACGCACGTAAATTCTCAAGCATCTACAATATTTTTCTGTAGTGTTGTACAGTTAAGATCATAGGGATCAGGCTAAAGGAGAGTAGTAAAAAAATCTACGTTGCATGCCCCTATTCCGCGGATTAACATTCAGATCTTTGTTAAGGATATGTTATAATGGTAACTACATTCATTTGTATGTATGTTATCTTCTCAAAAACAAAACCCTTCGTTTACACGCATCGATTGCAGTTTTCAAGTTCCTTATTTCAAGGGTGATGACATTACCTCTTAAACAATAATGATACCAAGATATAAGGTCCATGTTGAAAATCCCATTAAGCTAAAAAACATTGCCTTACAAGTATAATAATTATTAGATTTGATATCTTATTATCAACTTATCAGACTAAACATTTTAATTTTTATTTAAAAAAATAATAATTCTTTACTTACATGCGTGATCGTAATTAGCTATATATATTTATATCTGTTTGTAAAAGAGGTCAAATAGATTGATTCACGTGTTTGCTTGATATCTCATTGTCTTACCAGACTATCAGACTACACATTAAACAAATAAAACAGATTACCCTTTCTTTGAGCACTTTGATATCAATAAATGTTAATAACTCTTGGTATACAAAGTCTAATGATATTTAATACATTAAACCAACAAAATCGATGATCATCTTTTTTGATATTTATAGATATTTATATCTCTTAGTATACATAGTCTAGTGTATCCATATGTTTAAAGATTGTAATTATTAGTATTATAATTATACAGCTTCTCATTAATCCCATAWAGGTAACTGTCCAATTATTTTCTTGACAGGTCTTGTCGATATGGGATTAATTACGCAGCTATATAATTAATAGGTAATGGGATTTCATGCTCCCCAATCAAGAAATAATTAGACTCGAAAAATTCCTCTGACTGCCAAATTGGACTCTGCCTACGGCCTCATCCAATTTTGTCAGTCCTCTGAATTTTCCTCGTCCAATTATTTCTTAATTGGACAGCATGGAGTCCTATTACATATACTTATAATTATCATTAATGAGCAAATGGTTCGATATTTTTATTTCTATTTGAGATATTAAACTACATCAACATAGATTATACTTTGTTTTTATCCTGTGATATTAATAAGTATTTATAAGGATTCCTATACAGCTATCCTACTGAAACCAGACACTAATGCACTAGTATGTGGTTCAATAAATGACGAGTATCCATAGGAACGTTTATGTGGAAACCGAAGGGAAATTAACAGCTTCCTTAGTCGTCCGTTGAGTCATAGAGGCCATGGCCGGTAAAAAGATGATATCCCAAGTTTTAATGCCCTTTCATTGTGTACTTGTCTTAAACAAGGTCAGTAAGTATTTCTTGAGAACATCAAGTGGGTCGGGAAAACACGTCACAGCAAATTCTTTTACAATGCGTCATGCTCACTATAATAATTAATCAATGTTAATATTATCTTATAAAACATGGCTCCTACTGAATCTACGGTGTTGAAATAAACGAGTCAATTTTTAAGAATGGCATATTTTTTCCAGATGTTGTTATCGAGATTTAAAAATGAAAATCGAAAGCTTACAACTTTATTGTGTAAATTTGTTCCATGAACCATCAATACATTTTGACTCGAGTCGAAAGTTCGTGACTGAAGCCAAGACATTAAAAAAAAGGCGTCACGTCCATCAAAACTAAAGATGCATGATTATCTTTTAAAATCCTGTCCTTTTGATTCAATCTAGTGTTATATGCAGTATATTAACACTGTATTGGGCATTAAATTATAAATTAATTTATGTTAAATGTGCAAATTATCATCTTTAGTATTGTTTATCGCTAGATCATAAATGAGATATCATAATCAAGAAAATATTAAAAAAAGGGATATATTTCAACACAATATTCCATCTCTAACAGTATTTACCTACCGTAACTCTCTTACTTCTACATTTCCTTTATAAACATTGATGTTATGGTTACTATAAATATATTTTTTTAAATAACGAAGATATTGGCCTGCCACTTCGAGTCAAGAGCCGATCTTTAAACTCGATAGTCATGCCAAAGAATGAACGAAGGACGTAAAAAACGTTTTTTCCTTGATGGAGACTACAAAAGCTTTTTAAAAAAGGGATTTATGATTTTAAATTCCAAGAAAAGAAGAAGAAAGAAGTGAACTATGCCAGACATAACATATGTTACAATATCTTTGTTGCAATTTAATGTTTTCTTTTTATGACATAATGTCATCTTTTTTAAAGCAATGTACATGTGTATAATGTATGTTGCCAATAAATGAGCAATATTAAAGGCAAGAAATGTTATTTCGATCAGGTAGTTCGCTTATTTTATGGAGCTGGCTGAAGGTATGCCGTTCATGTCTTCACATGTCGGCGACGCGTTCCTTAACACAGCTCCGGCACGTTCAACTTTAATATTGCTTGCCTGCTCACACTTTAATGAAGTCATCAAAGCACTCTTTTTGTGCATTGTTTGAAGCGATTTCAATCAAAACAACCGAGACAATTTTTATATACGTGCTTCATTCATTTTTTAAAAATCTTTGAAGGAACCGAGCCAGCACCGTCTATATGTCATTTCGCAGTATGTGTTGTAATCTAATGAAAACTACTGAGCTGCATGTGCACCACAGGTCTTCTGTTAATACATTCAAAGTTTTGCAAGTAAACATCTAATGGACAAGCTGTTGTTTGTGCTGCAGTTATTAATTATGTTCTACGTCATTCTTAGTTATCACTAATAATACTATTATACTTTACTACACGTATAAATAACGACTTATTGAATCATGTCAAAACAGCTTTTTAGCATTAGCAAATGCGTCATAGCAAAAATGAAATCGTGCCTCTTAGTTTTTTTGGCGCAAACATCAAAGCATCCCGAACCGGCTGCTAGGGATATTTACTTGATGCCAAAAAAGGAAATGAGCCCTTGATGTTGCGGTGTCAGCCCCCTTAGTTGTGGTTAGTAATGCATGGGTATTGGATATAAAAAGATAAATGCATGAGAGTAGATATCATTCCGTCCACAACTTGCTGCAAACCATAAACAGCTCTCTACATCGAAGTACTACCAAGATATCAATCAAGATGCAAGGACATACAGTCCATCGTGCAGGAATACTGGTACTGTTGCTTGGCTTAGTGCTGCTTGTTGGAGTCAAATCAGCATCAWTTCGTGAGTATCATTCTGTCTTTCTTTTTTTCTTCTTAGCGAAAAGTAGTTGTTAAAATAAAGTTGGATGCTCAGTAAAAGAACGAGAGTATCATTTTTAAATTGTTCGTTTTCCTTAACGAAAACTAGTTGTTAAGATGACGTTGTAGCTAATTTAGATTCAAAGTAACAAAGAATGAGATTATCATTGTGTCTTTTTTTTCTTAGCGAAAAATAATTGTTAAATGCGTTGTAGCTAAGAAATTAGGTGCTCAGTTGCATAGAACGAGAGTACCATTCTCTCTTTTTTCTTAGCGAAAAATAGTTGTTCAGATAGCGTTGTAGCAAGTTTAATAAAAAAAGTAGCAAAAAACCCGGTTTGTTTTATAAAAATTATCTGTAAAAAACCTTTACGAGATATCGGTAAACAGGAAACCACCATACAAGGAGAAAAAGTTAGTCAGGCGTGAACTCGTCCGGGGCGTCGGTTTGGACTCTAAAACCACGCAATCCTGCTGCTGTGTCGTCTTCCTAGTACCTTATACAGCATCTTAATACCGGTAATGTGAACACCGGTAAGGTTGATCGTATCAGTTTCATTACCAAAGGAAAGACCAAATGACAATTGCTGAAACATCCATATTCAAACTACGTAAATTGAGGTAATGACGTCACTGCCGGTCTTTGTCTGAATCAAATGTTTAAATGACTTTTCATATCGTTTTGCTGACTAATCCTTATAATTTGGGTTTCTAGTTTCTTTCTAAAAGAATTGGAGTCCTAGTTTGATGTATCTAATCCGAGCTATCGAGTAAGTCCCGGCTGCTTTCAATCCTGCATAACGCCCATTTTGAAAACACGGAAAAAATAAAACCAAACCTTTGGAATAATCAGTTCTCTTGTAGAGCTCAAGGGTGATGTGACTTGTATCTTATTTTGACCAATCAGTATCCAGTGTCTGTATTCCTTCTTGGGTAGCGTGAAAAACTTTCCATTTTAATTTTATTACCAAATTTTATTGAAATAGCAAACTTTTTATACATCACTTCTGATTTTGTACCAAATTTTCTGGTTTCTTTGTCTTGGGTTCAAGTGAAATCAATCAACGACTGACCCTTGATATTACATACCTTCACTCAAGTGCAACGCATTCATATCTTGGCGCAAACATCACGTTTCTCAGTTCTGAATGCATTAATTACGCAATAGAACTCCAACCCACCCCTCCCCTCCTAACACACAAATCTTCGAGCAATATCTTATTATGTATCTTATT